ACAATAATTAAGCTGGCAGCGAAGCGACAGATTACACCTAGTCAAATTTGAATTTTTTTTTATTATTCAAATTAATAGATTTAAAGGACGTGACTTGAGTATGGTTTGTTACGACTCTATATGCAAGGTACTGTGTACTTCCCACACTGTCTAGACGGCTGTGTACCCTCACATCGTTCTCATTATGTATTAGATACAGCTGTGTACTCCCCACACCGTTCTCATTTATGTATGAAAAATAGCAGAATGGTGTGGTGTACACAGCCGCCTACAGTGTGGAAATAGCTGTAGGGGTGGGAATCGAGCAAATTTTTGTAAAATTTGCCGATCATTAAAAAGAAAAAAAATCACTTACACAGATATGTTTCACATCACAATTTGAATTTTATCACTGCATATAAAACCTGTCGTGTTACAATTATTGCATGATTATATTTAAAAAAAATTTTTTTTTGGTTATTTTTCCCTTAATTTTGTCTAACCGTAACCCCAATACGTATTAACTTTCGTTTCAGTTGCTAAGATGGTAGTGCGTAAAAGTGTTGGGGATTTCTTATATACTAGTTCATTATTTATTCTCACATTTTTAACCATTATAGCACTTGGCATTTCTGCATATGATATAATACGCAATGCCAATACTAGAGGATATTATCCCTATGTTTATATTGCCAGTGGAAGTTATTTTCTTACGGTAATATTTAAATAAATTTATTCAAATAAAAAATGTTTTTTATTCAGTCATTTTCATATCCAATTATAATTTCGTATTATAGGGCTTTGTTACAGTTTTACTTGGATGGTGTCGTCTGAACCTTGTAAAAAAGGCATTATCTAACATACCAAAACCTTTTATGCCAATTAAAGAGACAGATGTACCCAATGTCAGTTTTTATCGAAGAAATAGTCCTATATTATATATGCTTAATTTATTAATCTTCAATAATTCTAACAGTCTGTATTTAATCTTATTACTGATGAGTTGAAACGTGTATCCATGATTGCTTGGACGGGTGAACCGAAGCCCGAAGATGTTAATCTACCAGGATGGGGCCGACCAGGTTCTGACTACGATGGGATTCATTTCAAAACATCGATGATAAATACGTTTTCTCTCATAGGTTAGAATAAAATTCTTATTATCAAAGTAACGTGTAAATTCTCTTTACTAATAAATTTTAATTACATTAAAGAACAAAATGCTTTAAAAAACCTATCCTTAAAGCGGCAGCCTTCAATGTCAGTACAGCGATATATTGATCTCTTGATTGAGCATAGAGTCATAGATCGCGGCTTAGGACATGCTTATGTAGAAGGTTATGAAAGAGCACGCTTTAGCGAGGATGAAGTTTCTCAAGAACAATATACACAATTCATGAAACTTGTATTTCAATTATTACGCCGATTAGGCTATAATGGAGATTAATGTAATATATCTATAGTTGACATCAAAATTACTGACTTGCGGCATTGCAACTTATGTAGAATTAATTATTGCATAATATCTGAATGTAGCATGACACATTGCATACTAGTAATTTCATATTATTTATACCAGAAATATAGGATACAATTTATGGATTGTATGGTTAACTGCTGTGTATGTTGATTGGGTAATGATTAGTAATATGAAATATGATACAAATTACATGGTGTACAAAATAATGAAGCTGATTTGATAATAAACAGAGTTTTAAATAAAGTTCAAGTATTGCATAAAAAAATTTTGTAAATATTTAATTTTGAAAAAATTGTATTATTGTATATTAAATTATATATTATATACAGTCAAACCTCTCTATAATCACACCCTTGGTTTTTAAGAATTTGGTGCTTATAGAGAGTTTGTGCTTATATAGAGGTTAAATTTTATAAGTGCTATATAAAATTTTATGTGATTATAAGCAAATGTGACTATAGAGTATACCGGTAATTAGGTTTGTTAGAAAGCTTATTTTAGTAGAGTTTGGAACCGGTTTTAATAATCACAAAATTCACGTGATAAACTCGAATTATTAAAACCGGTTCACAACCTCTAGTCTAGACACTTTTGCAGTAACATGATGTGGCGCATGAAAATGACCAATCGG